AGCAGCGGCGTATCTAGCCGAAGATCGTGGGTTCGAATCCCGCTCGTGCCATTGACTTTTTTATCTCAACTAAAAACCTTAATTAATTGTAATATATTAATTGGTCAAGCGAACCACGAAATTAGTGAATTTAATTGCCAATTTTGTTTAAACCTAAAATCAGAAATCAGAAGCCACTTCCTTTATGAATGTTTGTTTCACATTTCCAATTGTGGTAAATATTTAAAAAAACCCTCCAGATTTGATTGCGCTTACACGTAAAAACAACCAGGGACTTAATATTTACTGTTTCTGCTTATATCTATAGAAAAGGGAGTTAAAAATGAGAAACCTGTTCTCTTGAGTAATATTTTATTATTATAACACATGATTTAGAAACATCATTTGTATTATTGCACTTTCACTTATTGTGTTTATTTTATTTTTTATTTGTGAATTAAGACCAATGCCAACTGCTATTGTACAGATCATTTCTATAGCAATAAATCATAATAGTAATAGTAATAATAATAATAATAATATAATTCAAAATTTTAATCAAAAACAGAAATAAATTTTATATGTAATGTGTGGTGATTAGTGACCGTTAATCGATATTTGTTTAGAAATCGTGAGATGCGGTCTGGTGTGATGTAGGTTTCAGAAAAACATTTTCTTTATCGTGCCNTAGGATAAATTAGTTTACGAGTGAATGTTTGGAGTCAGAGCTTTATAGCCCTCAGAAGGGATATAGCTAAATTTATATAGAAGGTTTGGGATGTTAGGGCATGAAATGACCTTAGCCGTTAAAACGCCCTCAAAAATTAATAATAATAATAAATACTATGGCTTGAAAGGGTTCACACACAAATAGAAATAAATACTATGATTTATTGAATATTCCACATAAAAACACAGATTTCTAATATAATAATTACACATAATCAGGTAAATACAAATTCACAATAATATATTAAAAGATCACAGAAGGGCGACATTATTATTCTTGTATTTAAACAACGATATAAGTAATATATCAATATCATGGGTCTAATTCAATGTAAACGAATGAAACGATCACTAAAGAAAAACACAACAGTTTTATAAAAAAATACAGACAGCACGGAAGTACAAAACAGTGCTGAAAACATCTTTTCTGCACATTCTGTAAAATTACACAAATTTAAAAATAATTTTAAATCTAAAACTTATATTATGTTGCATTTCTTGAGTTATCAGATAAGGTTATTAACTTTTTATAATAGCTAAATGATATCAATTTTAATCCAAATTGGAAATATAAAATTCATACAAATATATACTTATTTAGTACAGCACATAGTCATGTAACAATAAAAAAATAAAAAATTAAATTAATAAAATTTAAACAGTTCAGTATAACAACACATTTATATTTGAAAGATCAAAAAGGATTACCTGCAAAATGCAATTGCAGACAAATGCAAAGTACAACTGCATCAAGTTGTACAACTGATATTCTAAATTACTCAGGGGATATTATAAACATTCAATAACACTAAAACAGGTATTTTAACATTCAATACCAATTCAGTACAGAATTCGGATTTATAAACAATAAATATTTTGTATCTGAAAATTCAGATGCTTAAAAGATAGCAACCAATTTCATATTTATTGATACTTTCAAATTAACATTAATCGGGCTGTAGGCAGTAATAGATAGGCAATAGATAAAACTGAAAACAACCATCATCCAAACTGCAGTAAACATCCCAGAAATTCCATTTTTCCTAAGATTATTGTTTTAACCAACACATTTCATAACAAATGAAATTCCAGTTTAATGTAATTTCTTAACTTTCTCAAAGTGAATCGAATTAATACCAAAACTAAAAATATATAATCTAATATAAATTGAAGTAGTGATTATTGTCATTAAAGAATACAAAAACATTTTTTGTTTAAGACTGCTCAAAGGATTACCTCCAGTAAAGGTGACTATTATTATCCAAATCAAAATAAAATTTTATTGCCAACTTCAAAAATTCTCTGTAAAAACTATAATTTCTTTTCTCTAACCCTTTGTAGATCCATTTTTGCTTGTTTTTTAAGGCATTTGTTTTTGTTTTTTAAAACCTAAAGTAGTAAAGTGTACCTAGGTGGTAAACAATAGTAGAGTAGTACATACACAATATAATACAATAAAAAATACTTTATTTATGTTGAGGAGTTTTTACGTCTATAAACAACAGTAACAATTACAACAGTAAAAATGCTGTAAGATGAAACAATTGACAAGAATAACACGTGAGGAGAACTCACCCCTGAGCCTCCTATAGAAGAAATAAATAATGAATTCATTTTTTCAATTTCCTTCATCACTACATAGGGCATCATGTGATCATCAGCATTTCAGCCAACGGGGAGGATTATCTGGGATAGTATGAATATGAACTGACGGACCAGGGCATTGGGATGTGTGAAAAGGGAGTGATGGATTTTTTTTTTTTTTTTTTTTAATAAGCTTTCACTAATTCTGGAACAAAGGGAATATTAAGGTCTCAGTGTAGGGTGAGGTTTATTACATAAAACAGAGGGTTAACAATTCTTCTTAGGACTTTTGATTGGAATCTTTGGATACATGGGGAGTTGGAATGCTTGGTTGGCCCCTAACCTTTCCATAGTTCATTGTAAATACTTGTTCCAAAACAGATGAGTTAAATTTATTCATTTACTTACTTTTTCGCTTCTGTGGTACAATCAATTTTTTTCTTTGTATTTATGATTCCCTCTAGTTTATGGTGTTCCAATGTCTTCTGCTATTTCTTTAATTGTGTGCTTTTTGGTCAGGGGTGTTCAGTTGTTAAGATATTTGTTTAATATTATCTTAATACATAAAAGAAAATGACATTTTTTTCTCAGAAAATAAAATCATTTTTCTAATTTCTACCTCTGTTTGTCAGATTACTTACCATACAAAGCTGGTGGTATTTATAAGTATCTCTTTTTCCCCTCATTTCATTAATACAATCTTCAAGTAAAATAATTTAGTTAAGACATTATATCATATTATTTAAAACTGATTTATATAATCATTCTCTCTATTTCCCTGTTCTTGGCTGTTAAACAGGAATGAATAAGAATTTTTCAATTTTTGTTAGTAATTATTTTTATCTAAAGCGATGCTGACAAACAGGAATCAGATCAAACCATTACAAGCAGATCCTTTGAAATTTGTCTCTCTAAGTTCAATCAACCTCTGAAATAATGCCTCAAACTGTTTTTGATAATAACCATATTAATTTTGTTTTCAAAAATTTATTTTTTATGGTATTTTAATTTGTTGGCAATTTATTAATTACTTATGTTATTTTGTTGTTAATTGTTTTGTTCAATTTTTTTTTTTTCAATCGATTTATTTCATTAGAATAATGAATATTATAAAAATAATGTAACTGTGGAAAGTCACAAAAAAATTAAATAATATTGCATAAACAAACATAAGAATGGAAGACATTGCATCAAGAACATTAGCAATACTATGAGCACAGTAGCAGAAAATTATCACGACATTAATTCTAAGCCCACACATTTTTGTAAAAAGTGGATCTACATAGGGTTAACTCACCTAGAAAAGAGATTCAATAGCCTTGTTTGAAGTTTATTGTAAATATTTTAAAAGTAAAGTTGACAATATATTACCAGTACATTGACCGAACAAGAGAATGTTTTCAATTAAGTTTTATTAACTGGTCTCTAATAATAACACACTGATATACTGTTTGGTTTTTTAAAATGTAAAATAAAAAATTTATAAAAATACAAACATCTAATGTAAGAAGAAAAATTTAAACGATATTGAAATTTTTTGATTACAGTACTTTTTATTCTATTATTCAAATTTTAAATAGTATAGATCAACTACTACAAATAATAACGGCATTGTGTTCTTACCAACACAACCAGTTAATTATTTTAAAATTAATGTAAATATTTAATCAATTATATGAAAAATTTCTTCATATGCCACTCATATTTAACACATTGGCAATGGATGGTGCATAATTTCACCATTTGTTTTTCACATGGGTACAAATAGTGCTAAAATAAACAAGCTAAAATATGTACTCTGTATCTTAAAATATCAATTGACAATGAGCTGTACATTCCTTTATACATTGTTTAAATGCTCTTTGAACTGCAAACTGAAATAACTTTTTGTTTTGTTGTGTGATAATGCACTAAAAACGCAGGAAATGTTAAGCTAATATTGTTTTCAAATTAAATCAGGTACAATTTTCATACTCAGCCTTGACTATATGACTTAATGACATATTTCAACTAATTGATTCTATATCAACTGGGAAGAGTGAAGGTTGACATTGTGATAGCACAATTGTTCGCTTTTATTGTCAAGCGAATAAGAAATGTAAATAGAAAAAACAATACAAAACAAGTCAAACTTTGATCCAAAAATTTGTTAACAAATAAGTGAAGTGTTGCTCAATACAAAATTTATACAGCGGAGTTAGCAAGAGATATAAAAAATTCCTGCTAATGTGAAAAAACATGTAACAAGAGGAAGTGTTATTTTTTTTAATTGTTTGTTAAAAAGTATGTACATAGTGTGTGTGCAAAAACTTTTTGAACTGTTAAATCAAAGAGTAAAACACAAATGTTTTCCAGTTTTTAACATGGTTAAGATAAATGATGTCAAGCTAAACTATTGTATCCATGTGTAAAGCGTACCTCCAACATCAATGTGTTAAGAGCCAATGAACAAGCAAAACACATTGAATTTGCAATTAATTTCTTGGTATTTTCACATTTTTACAGTTAATTTAATGGGAAAAGAGATTATGCTGTAAGCAAACATATTGCTTATATTGAATAAAATACATTTGTACAAAACATATATGTATTACATTTACATATTATATATATATATGTGTGTGTGCGCGCGCGCGTTTGTGTGTGTGTGTAAATGTATATATGTGTACACATATATGTATTACATGTACATATTTTANACTTATAATATTTTCCCATTAAATTAACTGTAAAAATTACAAAGAAATTAACAGTAAATTCTTTTTTCTTTTTTTCTTTAATTGAACATTTAAATAAAAAGTAAAAGATTCATTGCTTACATTTTTGAGTTCTTTTTTGATTTTTGCTGCTGTATTATTAGTTTATTTTTCTTTCTTGTGACCTTTGTTGTGTGCGTAGAAGCGCCTTGCAACTTTTTAAGATTTTGTTGAGGTATAGATAATGCATTCTGTGAATGCTTGCTGCTTGTAAAACCTATTGAACAAAATAATTTGTTGTCAACTGTACAGGGAATGTGTCAATTTATTAAATATTAGATAAAGCAGTTCACCTGGCAGTTCTAATAATGAAGGCTCACTATTTTCCATGTTTGTGTCACCACATTTGCTCATACTACTGGTAGAGCTATTCGGCCCGCTACTATTCTGGCCATAATGGCGGTACATCAAATGCAACTTTTCTTCATGCTCACGATGTACCATGATCAGCCTCCTTTCACTTTCGATTCGAGACTGCTGGAGAGCATTACATAAAGCTTGAATTTTCCATGCTTGTGTTTCAATCTGATACTAAAAGCAAACAAAATTAATAGAGAAGTTGGTTTTAATAAAATGCAACAGCTGTAAAATAATAGTAATGTGTGTTATTTAGCAACCGGTTGTTCAATAATTTGTTGAAATAGTGAGGAGCGGTCAGGAATGAAGTATTGTATTAAAATACCTTTGCTATTTGGCTAACAAAATGAAAAAGGCGAATTCATTTCTGACAGTTCCTCACTACTTTAACAAAACAATAATAAAGTTAATTGATCGAACTTTATAGATTTTTGTTTTATATAATTAAATTTACAATAGATAATGGACAATAGTCCGTCTGCCAGGTTGGTGATTTCATCGAATAAATGTAGATACACCATAAATAAATAACAGAGGAAAACGATAAATATAGTAATATATACAATTTGTAGATATAATTTATTTTTAACTTAAAGATAAGTCACTAAAGTTTTAATGTAATAACAAATACTTTCCTTCAAGCAATTTTTTTTTTTTAACAAAGGTTCACAACAGCAGAGGTCATATCAATCCTCAGGGTGCCAGGTTTTTGTTTTTTTTTCTTTTTTTTAAACTGTTTGTAAGAAATGTCGAGTTCGAATGATGGGGCCACTGGAAACGAACCCAGGATCTTTAACTTACAGTGATGAGAACCGTGTCAACACCTTAATCGTTGTGGCCACCGATGCCTCATGCGTAATTGTTGTACTTATTATTTACATGTATTTGAATTCTGTTAAATTTCCTGTATTTTAATGCCTTCACCAGATATTTAAACGGTGGGTTCCAATCCTTAACATTCAAAATGTTAATAACACTTTCACAGGATAATTGTTTCAAGCCACATAGATCAACCCAAACCTCCTCCATATTACACAAAGAGCATTTATTTCTGTAGGTGAGTGCCAGGGTTCTAATAAAGAATAAACTATTTTTATTATTATTCAGATATCGTGAGATGCGGTTGGGTGTGATCTCGTGCATCTCACGATATCTGAATAACTATCGATTAACGGTCACTAATCTCTACATATTTTTATTATCATATATGTATGAACTTTGTCCTAATGCCAGAGTTAGCTGTATGTATCATCAACAAAGCGTAAAATGCTTTGAACATGGCGGTTGGCGGTTTTCTTGAATCTATTCCATACTTGTCAGAATATCGTGTTAGGGGTTTCCCTGATTTCCTCTACATTTCCTCCCATTGTTGGTACCAATATATATAAGGACTCGCTTCAGGGGTACATATACTATATATATATTACAATTTCATTTACAGGAACAGCATAAGTCTACCTTCGGGCATGCGTTATATAAAATAGATACATTCATGTGTTATAATTATATAAAACCACAATGTTTACCTCCTGATCTGCCAGCAGTTGTTCCATTTTTCTTCCAGATTCTCTAAGGTCAACAGCTTTTTTGAAGTATTTGTACAGTAGGCATCGCATTTCAGATTCTGACAATTTCATGAGTCTATCAACTAGCATCATTTCCCCCTTTAAAAATAAATAACATAAAACATGTAAATAACAACAAAACCGCCACCATCTGTATAATAATTCAAATAATGAACCTTTTCTTTTGTAATACTGTTGTACTCGATTCCTTGATGTCCACAAAGTAGTTCATTCTTATGTTCAATTGTTGCATCAATAGCCTCAATGGCTTCATCGACTTCAAGAAATTTGCGTTCTTCGTCGACTGTAAACATTTTCTCCTAAAATAAATGTGATTTGGAATATTTAAAAAAATAATACATTTGACAGATTGGTTATTTTAAGTTAAAACTTACTTTATTTAATTTACTATCAAGACTACGCCTCTGTTCGACTAATATGTCCCTGGTGTCTCTAAGGTTAATTATTTCATGGCGGAATGACTCTTCTCTCTCATTTTCCAATGTACGAACTGTCTTTTCAATTTCAGGACTTGAAAATGCCGTAATATTTTGTTGTTTGGGTTGTTTTTTCACAAGTTTTTCTGGCAAAGATGACACCGATTCCTATAACAAGTACAAACCATAAATTTGCATGTTGTACACAAACTATAGGTAAAAATAGCAAAAAATTATAAAACCCCTTGATTAATTAATAAACATTAAACAGAAGCGATGTCACCACAATGGTGTTGACACAGAAGCTTAGGAACAAGGTGTGAGGGAGAAATTAATATGATTAACGAATGACCAATTAACATGTATTGTGGCTAAAAATTATAAAAGTGAAATTAGAATAAGTCAGAATTACTTTGCAGTCAGCATGAATTGGCCTGAACTCTCTTTCCTTCGGCTGACTGTTCTTTCCTGGAGTGTCCTTACTGCATGAAGGTTGTGGAATAAATATTTCACCAGCTAAAACACTCCTCCTTCGTCTATTGTGTAAATTTACACCTGGTAAATTTTTTTAAACATAAATAATGATATTAATTATAAAGAAAATGAGTTTTTTTTTAATTTAAACATACAATAGTGCAGAAAGTTTTAAATTTAAATAAATAAAAAATGCATGTTAAAACATTCTAAAATAATTATTTTATAATTAAGTTTTAAACAATGTAAAATGGAACAACCATGTTCATTACATGGATGTAAAATCATTAAAAAATGATATTTTTTCAAATTTTAAAAGAAATTGAATTCTTACTGTAACTTTCAGAAATAGCACTGTGTTCAATCCCAGCCTTTTCCACCATCCCATGTCCTAAATATTTGTTAACTATTGAATCAGTAGCAATGCGAAACCTAAAAATCATATAAAGAAAAATGTTAAAAAATACTTCTGATTATAACACAATAACAAAACATTTGAATTTAGTTTTCTAAGCTCAGCAAAGTCAATTTTTTTAAAGGACAAAAAATAAAAATCATATTAATTGAGAAATTAAAAACAAATATGTGGATTTTTATTACATGTCAATGTATTAAATCAAATCCATGGTGAAAAATAAAATATAATCTTTTCAATTAATTAAGGTTTTGGTTGAGATAAAAAGTCAGTGTCACAAGCGGGATTCGAACCCATGACCTTCAGCTAAATACGCCGCTGCTCTACCACTTGAGCAATCGTGACTTCAATCCACTAGGACACTAACTTCCTATCTCAACCCCACCTTTTTGAATTTTCCCACCTTTTTGTATCAAATAGCTTACACAACATTTGAAAAATGGCCAACAGGAGGGAAAATTCAAAAAGGCGGGGTTGAAATGGGAAGTTAGTGTCCGAGTGGATCGAAATCACGATAGCTCAAGCGGCAGAGCAACGGCATATTTAGCCAAAGGTCGTGGGCTCGAATCCCGTTTGTGACACTGTATTTTTTATCTCAACCAAAACCTTAATTAATTGAAAAAAATTTATTTGGTCAAGCGGACTACGAAATCTAATAAAAAATAAAATATAATGTTCACCTGCTTAATTGATGTTCCATTTTCTCAACGAATCTATTTTTCGGATCAGGCTTAGAAGCACTACATTCATCTCCAGTCTCGTCTTTTTGTAAATCTTCAAAATCATCACTGCTTTCATTATCACTCTCACTTGGACTAGTACTTTTACCAGAAGATAATTTACTTTCTGATTCTGTGACTTCGTCTAAATAAAATTTTCAATATAAATATAGAAAACAGAAAATAAAATATGTTTAAGAATTACAAAATATCATTTTCATTACATTTTGAATATAATTCTGTTTAGCCATGCCAAACATTATTTAGCTGGTTGAAGACAAGATAAAATAAGCAGCTTATAGATTATTATTGAAATTGCAAAATATATTTTGCAACTGCTACTATTATTATACTTTAACTATATATATATCTATGTGCTACTATTGTATTGCAGGGAAATCTCGGTCATCTGAACCAGCTCTTGCGATTATTAGTTCGGATTAGCAGGGATATATTTACAAAACATTTATATGTGCTCTACCCAAATGTTTGAATTGAAAATAATTCAACAAACAGACATTTAAATAATAAATAAAAATAATGAATGTGCATATTATAATTTTTTAAATTATGCAATTTAAAACAATGAATATGTTTCAACCACAGAGAATGGGTCTAAAAGGAAAAAGGGCATACTGACAAGACTAAACATAGGTCATAACTTATGGGCATCTTCTGGCCAGTGGTGACCATGTGGGTGCCCGTTATGCAAGAATAAAATATCAATCAAGCATATTTTCAATTGTAGAAGGCTTGATGTTTATAAGCAACATGTTGATACATCATCTCACCTGTGCTTAGTTTTGGGGCAGCAGGTACCTCAGGGTTGTAGGTATTTTTAAATGTTTATAGTGTTTGTGTTGTGTCACTGTTAATTTATTGGAATGTAATTTATTAGCATGCAAGGAAGCATGCAACTAACCCTGCCTCGAGGATTATTGAGCACTATGGGATTAGCGTGACACCTGGAGAGTAAAAGTATGTTATTAGCAAGAAGGAAGTTGGTTCAACCCAACCCTGAGGAATATCAAGAACTCTGGGGGAGCGAATGTGATCAGACTTCTATGTTTGTGGTGATGTAATATATTTATTACATATTTAATTGTGTAATTGACAACCTTAGGTACAAATGAAAGGCTAGCATTTTAGGATATTGACTGTTTTTGTACAAAAGCAGAGTCTGTAACAGATTGATACGACAGCTGCAAGTTGAAAAATACACGATCAGAAAAATAAGTAAAAACACGCAGAGGGTCGGCGATGACCTCAGCTATTTGTCGGCCCTTAAACTTCCCACATTATTATTATTAAAACAATGAAATGTACATGTGTGTGTCTATACATTCACAGCAGCCAGCCACCTGTCAAAACAAAGGTATTGGATTTAAAGGAAACCCCATTGTGAGAAGTTTTGTTTCTTTTTGTATACATGCTTCATTATAAACAATTTAATTTTTATTATAATTAGTTTTTGAAAATGATTTGTTTATTTAAAATCGTTAAAATTAAATTTATTTATTTGAATCACAGAAAAGTAGTTTTTAATTATGTAGAACATTAAAAAAATTAACTGAAAAACTGTTCAGACTAATTTGAATTCAGATGAACACAGGTTCGGATTACCAAGACTGCACTCTATTTAATTTTGTTTATACTTATCAATATATATAATTACCTATTCTTTCAAGAGATCTGACTTTCTTTTCGACTAGAGCATAAGAAGAATCATTGTTTAAGCACTCTTCATATTCTTGCTTCAGACATAACCATTGTTCAATCTTGGTCCGTGAGTCTTCAGAAAGACCGCTTTGCACTAATTTTTGAAACAGCCCTTCTGCATTTGCTACAAGTTGTTGCCACTGAGTAGCAGCAAACTCCAGGCTTACAAATAAACAAAAACAAAAAATCATGCAAATTATAAAATTTATACATTAAAAAAAAATTGTTGTTATTACCCAAATGTATCCCCTCCTTTAACACCATCATTTTCATTAGAATCATAAGGCAAGTCTTGAGAAACGAGACTGTTCATTTGTTGCCTGATTTGTTCTTCGTGCTGGTATTTAAATAACAATCTTAACTGATCGATGACACTAAGATAGTTTAATGTTTCACAATGGTCAACCGATGCAGGAGACAAACAGCAAAGGAGTAAAGTTTGAAATGAAAATGTAATGGCGTCCTAAAAATTATTACAACTTTTAGATATATTCTTCACCACCAAAAAAAAAAAAAAATAAAATAAAAGACATAAAAGAGATCAAGTTTATTTCCGACCTTTAAAAGAGTAGCCAATATGGTACTTGTCGATGACCCAGGAATTACACAGTAGCTTTCTGCCAAAATTGACAAACAATTTGAAACCATTCTCAAACCAACATTTTTATTATTATTGGAATAAATAAGTTGATTGTTAGATCTAAGAAATGGTGCTGAAGATGTACTGCCAAGATCAATAAATGTAGCACGAGACAACTTGCTATGGCTCACACCTATAAAAAAATTAACATATTAAAACATGAACTTGTACTTAGCATTACAATAAACACAAAACAAAAAGCACCACAGCAAAATAAAAAAATCAATTAAAAACAAACAAAAAACACAATACCCACATACGTAAGAGAAGAATGCAATTTATGTAAAAGTTCATATTTTACCTTTCTATTTTTATAACTTACCATCTTGACTCCACTGTTGATATACAGTAAAAATAAAAAATTTGTTTATTTGACTAGAATTATAATTATGTTCCTCTTGAAGTCTTTGCTGTTTTGTTAAACCATCCTTTATACAGTTGAAAACTTGTTTGACATTCAGACACTGGACACCTTCAATGCCCTCACTTCCTACAGCAGTCTAAAACAACGACAAACTTAGTAGAAAATTAATTTGAAATTTCGCTTAATTATTCAATATCTTATTAGGAATTATTGACTGGCACATCTATGAAAATAATATTTTCATAATATAATTTTTTTGTAGTTTTAGGGCTGGCAAACTACATTGATCATCACCACTCTTCTCTTTCTAAGCTTTGCATTTCTTTTCTTATTTTTCTCAAGTTTTAAACCTACTACATTCTTTTAATGTTTCTCCAGCATTGTTATGATATTTTATTACATATCGGTGACCAACTCTTTTTTCTTTAACCTATTGTTAGCCTCTCTGTACCTCAGGGCCTCGTCAATTGTGCATAAAATAACACAAATAACAAACATAAATACACAAGAACACAGAAACAAGATAAAAACATGATAGTCTGGTTAGCATTCACACTACCCAAGAGTACACCATATTCCTTGATTCACACTAATAAATTATATTCTAACATTCATTCTCACTATCCCAAATTAGTCGATATACCTCAGGGTAATTGGGGAAAGGTCCTTCATTCACACTAATAAATTACATTCATTCACACTGCCCCATATTCAATATTCCTTGGGGTAGTTGGGGATAAACCCCTCCATTCGTGCAAATAAATACATTCATTCCAACACATAACACATATCACCCACATGAAGGTACAAAGATTAAGCCTTTGTTAACAATTAAAAATATTTATGGCCCTGAGATACAGAACTAGCGATTTGTGCTGGCTGCCATGCTTCAAGGCCGAGCATGTCTTTTGTGATGTAATATTTCTTTCTTTGCAGACTTAGTTCTTTGCAGTATGTTGTTATATGCTCTACCATGATAAGTTCCTCGCACCATGGATCTTGGTATGTTCAACCTGATAAGTATGAATTTTTTCCTCTCTAGACCCAGCCTCCACAGGTCAGGGACCGATGTCTTTTTTACATTTATATAATTGAGATATGTTTCTTTTGTTCTAGCCAATTCTCCATTCATTTCTACAATATAATGATTATAATCAACTTCTTATAACCAACATGAAATAATATGGAAAAATTGAACTTTATTATTTATTTTGGTTATTAAAATAATTGTAATGATTTCATCATTATTCAACAACATATGCTGTTTTCAATTCACAATAAACAAAAACACCTTGTATTTTACAAACTTGTTGTAAACAACTTTAGTTAAAATTATGATTTACACCTAGAATTTGAGAACACAGGACTGACAATCATATACTTACATATGCGATTTTTTGTTATATAATGCAGATACATAAATGTCAAAAAGAAAAAAATTATATAAAAGTAGAAATATATTTAAATAAAATTGAAAAGAATGCGTTAGTGCAATCTAAACTGTATTTTAAATTTTAACTTAAGTACCTTAAGATGTGCAGGAAGTTGAAGTTCAGATTTAATTGCAAATTCGAACATATCTTTAATCTCACCATTGATGACTTCAAAAAAATTTAAAAACACTCTGTACATTAGGCCTTTGTATTGTTCCAGCCACTAAAAATTAGGCATAATTAGATAATCTAATAATAATTTAAAATATACATTTAAAACATTGTAAATACATACTTCAAGGCTATTGAAAACATGCTTGGCAGCTCGAGGTATGATACCACTCTCATTAAAATAATTCAAATTCCCCACTAATGAATAAGTCTTTCCAGATTTACATTTTCCAAAAGTAACGATACACACATCAAGCCCTACAAAATCATAATTAGGCCAAACGCTTGCCCTAGATACTAAGCGATTTATTCTGCATTTATTATAATCAGCTGACCTTCTAAAAGAGTATTTATTTTTGGAGCAACACAAATGTCATACAAATGAGCTTGTGAACAATTGACTGGTAACACATAGTCAGCAGTGTAGCAGGCTTGATTCCCGATGATAATCTGTTTTGTGTGCGGTACTGGACAGACGCATACATCTTCTGGGACCTGATTAATCTGAAAAGGTGGACGAACCTGAAAAGAAAAGGTAAACATTTCAATTTTATGAAATAACATGAAATTTTATCAATTGTGGAGGATTTCAATCTCTTAGATAGTATTTCCAACTTTTTACTGTTTAAGCAAACAACAAAAACCATAAATAATTAAAATTCATTAAAATAGTACAATATTAAAGACCGTTTCAAGAGTCAAAATTAAATTTTGAACCAATTGAACTAGGACATACCGTTGTTGTTGTTTTTTTAGACCAACCATTAATTTTACAATAATATATATAGAATAAATAAATGTTTACATTCTTATAAACCATTTGGCACAATAAGATTTACATTTCACTATTCGCTATTCATTTTTAACTACACAAGTTCATATGGCTTTGTTCTTTTTATTGTTCTGACAGTGTGCTGGCTGAGGTGAGACTGGTGTTTGGCAGTGAATCTTGTATTTCTGCCGTGACCTCAGGGATCCTTATTATATTCTTTATGTACCAAGGTGCATTGACCATATTATGTAAGATTTTATTTTGGAGTGTTTGTATGATTTTGATATTGCTGTGTTTGCTAAAACCCCACAGTTGAATACCATATGTCCACATAGGCTTTAGGACTGGTTTGTATAACAATATTTTATTTTGTACAGCAAGGTTGCAGCCATGTCCTATCAGCCAATATAGTTGTCTATACCTTAAACCTATTTCTGCTGTTTTTTTCTTCACGTGTACTTTCCATCTCAGCTTGGCATCTAAGTCCATGCCCAGATATTTAGCTGTATAGCTGTATGTTATAGGAGTTCCATCAATTGTGAGCGACGGGACATGGTCCATTTTTTTGTTTGTAAAGATTAGATTAACTGATTTATGCTGATTTAGCTTCATTTTCCTTTTTTTTTAAATCTTATTACAAGCATTTTGAAGTATTTTGGTTGATTGGTTGATAGTCGGTCCTAGTGATATCACCATTGTGTCATCTGCAAACGTTGCAATTTTTACTCCATCTATTTTTGGAAAATCACTAGTGTATAACAAGTAAAGAAGTAGACCTAATAAGCTACCTTGTGGCACTCTTGCATTTATTGTTTTTTAGTTTTGAATAGTGATCTTCTTGATTGACTCTAAACAGTCTGTCGGTTAGGTAGTAGGTAGGACTGATAATATCGACATACTGCTTTGGTAGAATCCCTTTTAGTTCATCGACGAGTCCTTTGTGCCAGACCTTATCAAGCTGTGAGACATCAAGGAAGATAGCAAAACAAATTTGTTTTTCTTCTATTGTGTTGATTTGATTGAGATTGTTCTATTACGTTCGTTACTCGGTGAATTTGGTCTATTGTTGAATGTCTTATTCAGAATCCAAATATCTTTTCGAAAAGCTTAGACACTGTCGGTAGTGGCGATATTGGTCTATGTGATGTGACCTCGTTCGCCAGTTTTCCTGTTTTTTTTTTTTAATAACTTCTGCGAATTTCCAGATGCTGGGAACAGATAGTTGTGCAATAAGTACAGAATGGGGGATACAATACCTGAAGGGTGCAGGTATATTACACACCCCGAATGATACATCTACATCTACATGTAAATAGGAAAGAATGTTTTTAAGAATGAGTGTGAATGGGTTTGGATTGAAAAACTGTTTGCATTGGAGGCTGAAATGACCTAGCTGACAATAGCCTTGGCAGCTGGATGGATAAGTCTGCGGTCTAACCATGGACTGTCAACACCCGGGGTGGGTGATTCTCGACGCCTGCCGGTGATTTGTTGTAAATTACTAAAGCTGGAATTGCCGGTGGACTGCAAGAAGTGACAGGCTCAACATTGCATTGTGCGCATATATTTACACACATGAACAGATTTGACCTTTTGTAAAACCAAATCCATATTCCAGTCATACTTACATTAAATTTTGACAGAACGCGTTGTTGGCTTTTTGGATAATTTTAAACGAGATTAGCTGTAAAGTGTAATATATTCTAGAATTTTTTTTTCTGAACTCACCCTGACCGCCACCTCGATAGACGATTCCGTATTCATTTGGAATACAGTTAGACGTCGAATAAATAATCCAAATAGCGAAAGGTGATTTGCCTTCAATTCACATAATTGACTTGAAACGCCGTCCGTGGATGGCGAATTCCATTTCAATTTCGACCCATAATCAATAATTGTTTATATTCCTATTGATAAAACGAAGATCTATCATTTGAAGTTTGAATACAATAGTAAACAATTTTCACTCAGAACCTCTTCTGCTGAGCCGAGAGCCTCAAATTGAACAGGCGAGTCTTCGGTTCACCATTATCTGCGATACGACTCACTCTAGCCGAAATTGGTGAACTTATGTCGCCCCAAAGTTTCATCTCAACGTCTAGTGAAATGCCCAGTTCGTTCTGTCGACATAAACATAAATATGTGCAGTGAGAAACTTTCATTTCCGGACAACTTATCTCTTAATTTCATTTTTGGCTATACGAATGAACGTTATAGCGAATATATCTAAGTTTATTTGCTGTGTGTTTCATTTGTTGAATATCTTACTCAGTTTTTCAATATGGTACTTCTAGACATATCCTTGTCTAAAATGCCAGAGTGATGTAACTGGAGAAGATACTTTTAAGCGTTTCAAGTGCAATTTACAGGTTCATAATAAATGCATGGACTTGACCCATGAGGAACTGAAGGCCTTAAAAGATTCTCAAAAAAAAACTATTGTATTTTTTGCTATTGTTCTGATACAGATCCAAATCTCTCCTTTAAAGAGCTTTGCAAGGCTATCTGCCTTACCTTACTTACCTTCAATAAGTATGTTGAATTTAACTCATTGGACAAAACATTTGCCGGTTTGAAAATCAAGAAGGATGAAATAGAATAGAATTTTTTTTTCCTCTCAAGAAGTACAACATACTTGTGATAAGAATGATTTCATGGATGTATTACTGGTTGGGTAACTAGAAGAAAGAACTTCACATTATTTGGTGTTGAACTTGAAGAGTTAACTCTGCCTAATGCTCGTGAAAAGCTTAACTACGATGCTCTGATGTTGAAAGACATATTCAAAACAGCCTCGCCAAGCTTTGAAAAACCTGACCATTTATACTTTGCAAACATCCACCCTTAAAGTAATCTGTTCAAATGAAGAAGATGCCTTAGAAGTAGAACTGTATTGGTTTTTATGCTGCTGGAAAAGCAGCAGAACTCTATTTCTGTCACCTGTGACAAGACTAAACTTCAGCAACAATATTTTCACCATTAAAAGAAAAATTTAAAGAATGATTAAAAGCTGGTGAAACTAATTTATCCATCTAGCACTTCAATGGAGTTCCTAACATAGTTGAACTTCAACTCAAAAAACATGTAATTTATGGGTCAAATCATTCAATTAGTATTATTTACCAAAATGTTAGAGGTTTAAACACTAAACTAGATAAGTTAAGATGTACTGTACCTATTTTAGACTGTGATTATTGTACTAAATGAAACATGACTGTCAAATAGAGTCACTGATGCAGAATTATGATTGAATGGTTATTGTATATATAGAGCTGACAGAAAATTTTATACTAGTGTTAAGTGGCATGGTGGAGGTGTTCTGATTGCTGTGTGGGAATTGATACGCACCTTCACTTTTGCCTACTAAATGCAATAATTTAGAACAACTACTAGTCACGTTGGAAGTGATTACAATAAAGTACATACTTGGAACGGCCTATTTACTGCCTAGTCAGAACTGTGATACTTGTGAACAGCTTTATGGTGAGATCGAAACTACATTACAGCAGTATTCTATTCACGAATTCACCTTTTGCGGTGACTTACCTGATTGGCAAGCACAGATTCTGTGTCCGCTCAAGCGTCATTATCTGCCAATATAATTACTGACTCTTTTATTAGCATTAAAACAGGTAAACCACATCTACAATTGCTGGAAAAGAAGACTACTATTGAGGTAACTAAATCTGATGTTAGTTTAGTGGATGTGGATAAACATCATCCTGTCTTAATTATTAATGTTGAATATAATTTACCTAAAGGAGATTATCAATCAGAGCAAACTTTTCTTTCTAATGGGACAGAATGCAAGAATTCACTATTAATGAATGTGTAAATTACTTATACTACATTTTATCAACAACTATTGATCAGTATGTCCCTATTGTCAAAACATATAGTTTTCCCAAGTACCCGAAGTAGACCTAATTAATTTTATCAGACAAAAAAGATAAATCATTCACTTTATAAACAAACTGGTAATAGCGATTATTACCAAAAATTTTCTAGTCTTAGAGCTAAATGTAAATCCTTATCAAGTCTTTGTTATGATTATTATTTATCTGATATTGAAAACAATTCAATCGAATATTAAAATCTTTTGGTGTTGTATAAATTCCACGAAACAGTCTTCTGCTGTGCCTTCCCATATGGAGTTAATTCTTCTCTTAGTGGATCCATAATTGCCAATTACTTTGCCCAGCACTTTTCAAATGTTTACGAAAGCAATAGTTCTGGCACCTCCACAACTGTTGATTCTAATTTTTGTTCCCCATCACTTCCACCCTCTATTTGCACAAATATGTCATATCCATGGAGGAAGTAGAAGAATTGATTTTAACTACGAAATCAGCAGGACCTGACAATATTCTTCCCATTTTTGTCACTAATTGTGTATCTTAACTCATTACTCTATTGTACTACATGTTCAATAACTCTCCCAACAAGGGTATTTTTCCTCAATTCTGGAAATCGTCCTTTGTAAATCCGCTTTTTAAATCTGACGATGAATCCAATATATGTAATTATAGACCGATTTCCATCCAATCCATTTTTTCAAAAATATTTGAATCTGGTTTGCAAAAAGTTAAAAATCTCGAAAAGGTGATTATTCCCAAACAACATGGCTCCTGTACTGGCAGATCAACACTTACTAATTTATTCAGAAATCGTGAGATGTGGTCTGGTGTGATGTAGGTTTCAGAAAACCATTTTCTTTATCGTGCCAATGTTTCGATCTTTATTGAGATCATCTTCAGGGCCTGGGATTTACAAACATTGTTTAATTTTAACAAATACATGTAGGATGTGAAAAAAAAGTGAATTGAATGCAAAANTTTTTTTTTTTTTTTTTTTTTTTTTTTTTTTTTTTTTTTTTTTTGAGAACTGGGTTTTTGACTCATAAGTAATAAAAATAAAATAAAATGAATGAATGATGTTTATTTTCATTTACATACAATCATAATAAAAAATATTTTTATTTGTTTATTTAAATATATGGATTACTATCCTTGTTACAAAACTGTAAATTTCATAATGCTAAATAATTAATGGCAACTAGGAAAGAAATTTATAAACAATATAAAATATATAATAGGCATGTGAGAATGAAAACACTATGATAAATCTTAATAAATAAATAAAAATATAAGTAAAAATTAGAACTAATTAACAATTAGATCTATTTAAAATTAGAAATTATACAATTAAATAGATAAGGAATGTTTAAATGCTGGATTAATGAGTGTGTTTCTAGTATTCAGATTTAACATTTTGTAACATTTGCGTAATTTTAGTTTTGAATTGGGACCTTCACATTTTAAAAATATCTATGTGAGGTGAAACTGATTTATTAGTTGGAAGGGCTCTGGGAATTGAAAAATAAAAGACATAATTTCATTCATAGAATTGAACATTAAAATAGATCATTTTTTCTAATATTGACACTGGGAACACAGAAAGTAGTACACAGTACAAAAACCTATCCATATACTTGGAAATATGAAGCCAGACCTAGCAGCACAACTGGCTACAATCAACAGCGTTCCTAGCAGGAAGTTCCTCAAATGACTTGCCTGGGGTATTATTCCACCAGGTTTTGGACTCATTAAGGATACATTATTGAATGTACCCTTTTTTTGTGGCTCCTTTATTTTTGGCCAAATGACATGTCACATATCCAACTTCTCATTGCTTCTATGTCCCAAATAACCAGGGACCCATGCCATGGTCAGGTCGATAGCTGTTTCGATCTTCGGATTCATCCCAAAAACTCCAGCTACCAGTTATAAGTTTCTAGTCAGTCACTATACCAATAGGAATTGGCTTCTAGAGGTGTTACTTTGGCCCACTCTTTCCATTTTGGTAAATGTACCTTGTACTTCTTGGTGAAGTTATATTTTGGAGTAGTGGCATTGATTGGCATGAGTAGTACAGCATCTGCCTGTATCTCCTCCCTCAGTTTCCATTGTTGACACAACCTATTATCCTTGCAGTTGGTTGTCCATTATGAGCCCGTGAGTTGCTGCTTTGGCTTCTCCTTGGATTAAAATATGGAGTGGTGGAAGGTTTAACAACACCTCCAAGGGTGCAGTTGTCACTGTACTCATGGCTCCTGTAACACTGAGGCATGCTAGTCTTTGAGTGCCACTTAATAGCCTAATTCCACCACACCATCAACCCAAATGTCAACGTTGTTCTTAAGACACAGGTGTAAAGCCATAGAGTCATTTTGGGGTTAATACCCATCTTTTGGCCCAGAGACTTCTGCACCTACCCCAGGCAATTTTGGCTCTCTGAGAATTATTGTGTCAATTCCAAGTGAGCTGCTGGTCTAGTGTGATCCTACATATTTGGCTTCCTTGGAGAATCGGTGTCCCATTATGCTTGGAATTTTTAGGCTTCCTATCGACCTCTTCTTTGACAGGATTCAGGTTTTGTGGGGGTTATAGACAGCCCCTCCCGTTTACACCACCTATATATAAGGTTGAGAGCCTGCTGTACACGGTCCATCCAACGTCTGCATGGTGGCTTTTAACCACTAGTAAGGCACTAGTACGCACTGCAGAGTACAAAAGGCCCTCAATATACTTTCCATCCCTACAATCACACCGTTGTCGCTATCGGTTTTGATGGATCTAAGGAATCATTTCTCAAACAAACAATTATACTGACTCATAGAAGATGACGATGTTCGGGAATGTATTCCTTGCCTTTTTAATTCCCTGGCGCAGTATTCAATTGCGATGATTTCAGTCCGAAAAAACTACTTAAAGTTGGGAAAAAACCCCGCACACATTGACAACGGAAATATGAGCGCCATGTCCACGCCCACTAACACAACGCCCCCAGCGACAAGCGACGGACCCAATGCTATACAAAGTACAAACCCTACTCAAACAAAGTGACAGACAATTCCTCACTGAAGATGGTGCAATGTCGAAACGCATTTGAATGACTCGTGGCCGAA